TAAAATATCTAAAACTTAATTTCCTTAGAGGTTAGAAGCTAAAATACCAAAACAAAAAAAGCAATATGACAAAGTACAAAAACAATTTGAACTTTAGGAGTTGAATTTACGTTGATATTAAAAAAAAAAAAAATGTTCTAGCTTCTTAAATACCAGAACACTGATAAATATCTATGAGTAGATATTAAGGGAGAGTGGCAGCCTAGTGGTTAGGGCATAGAGCTAGCAATCCTGAGGTTGTAAGTTTGAAACCCACTCCCACAGACTGCCACTCTGGGTCTCTGAGCAAAGACCCTTAACCACTGATTGCTCCTCGGGCGCCCCACGATGGCAGCCTACTTCAATCTATTTATTATTATTATTATTATTAGATTGTTTATATCTCCAGAAAAACAGAATTAAATCATAAATGTGACCTCTTTATTCCAAAAAGAAAAGAAAAATGGATTATGGCCAGACAAAACTGTGATCATTTGACAGCCTCCAAATTTTGTTCAGCCTCACCTTCTTGTCTGGTAAGTTGAAGAGAAACTCCCGGTCAAAGCGTCCAGGCCTCCTGAGAGCAGGGTCGATAGAGTCGAGTCTGTTTGTAGCACCGATGACGACTATCTCCCCTCGACTGTCCAGGCCGTCCATTAAGGCCAACAGGGTGGACACAATAGAACTAAACAGGAGACCAAACAGAAATACAAACAGACTACATTATATATTATTATATATTGTGATGCACACCTGATCAATAATTTAAAAAAAATTTAGATGTTGCAATGATCTATCATTTTAATTAACTCCGATCCAGAATTTTAAAAACATTCTGGGGGATATAGGCAGAGGAAAGTATTAGCTTCTAAACGTTTCTTAGCCATGCTGAGCTAATTCAATGGGGTTTGGGTGACAATTTCAATCCTGGCCGTTTCCCCTGGTGAATTTAGTAAGGTAAAAAAAGATGAATAAATTAATGATCGATATCTGTTGTTATTAAAGGCTTATATCATGATACAATTCTCAGCGATGTTGCAGTCTTAGTTCTTAAACTATATTTCCGAATTAAAACGCTCCTTCAAAGCTTTAGCCAAGTTCCACAAACTGATCTGGCCAGAAAGCTGGAAACTTAAACATCCAGTCAGTATTCAGTTAATCGGCCCATATCTAACTGCTGACTGGTTGAACGAAAACCCTTTTATTCCCCAGACTTTGCTCTCCAGACACCACCAGCTCTGCTGGGTGAAGCCTGTGGCGCACCAAAGCCAGCCAAGAGACACAAGTCCCTCCAGCACGTCCGAGGCCTCCTCCCAGTGTACCAACAGCAGCACTTCTCAGTTTTATCTAACTTACTTTATCTATATTACACCAGCCCACAATAAATATTGTCTCAAGGCACTTTAAGAAAAACTTCAATATACAAATTTATAGACGGTTCAAACCAACCATATAAAAAGATTGGTGTTCTCAACAGGTGTTTTGGAGCGTAGCGGGGCTCAGAGGGCCATTTATCATCATCATTCTCTGCTGCAACATATCTTCTTTCTCAGCTCTTCTCTAATTAGGCCAATTCTTTCTATCTTTTCTTTTATACTCGAAGGCAACGTTCCATAATATGCAAAATGTAAAACTGAGATGATGCTCTGATCCACCTGCAGGCAGAGCTACACACCTGAGCAGCAGCAATTGTCTGTGGTATATGGTAGAGAGAGAAAAAACAAAAGACCACCGGCTTGACGGACCAGCCTCTTTCTGGACCTGGGTTACAGCTGACAGATTATCTGCCGGCAGATTAAGTCTGAGACGATGAGAGTCTGAAGGCTGCGAGGCTCAAGTTTGATCTCACCTTTTCTCATATATATGTGTGTAAATAAGGGATACATGTGTTCAAAATACAGTTTCTAGTGGCAATAAGATCATTAAAATTCAGCATACTTTATTTCTGCATAATTTTGACAACATTCAGAGCTAGCACTGGTTAAGCACTGGACAGAACCCTGTGAGGAGCCCTGATGTCAGTCAAAGAGCGGTGTGCTCATTTTATATGAGCAGATCGGCCTAATTTCAGCAAAGCAGTGTAAACCTCCAGCATAGTGATTGCTACACTAAAATGTGGTGGCAAAAATCCTGTAGATCCAAAGTTTATTACACTGATTCTACTTAAGTCCTAGCTGTAGAAAAAAAAGTACAGTTTGATTCATTGTCGAAACATTTTTAAAGGTTTCTGAGGAACCAAAGCTAATTAGATCAAGTTTTTGGTTTTGTAAAAATGCATCTCCACAGAGCAAATAGCAACATTGAAGATGAAAGGTCCCCTTTAACAGGCAGAAACCTCCAGCAAAAGCTAACTTGCTGGGAGAAGAGAAGGCATATTTAAACAAATACAGATACACTAATGCTGGTGTACTCTTTATGTAAAAGGAAAGCTAATGAACCAAAGGCAGCAGCAGCTTCTTTAGTGGCTTCATCAAGGAGAGAAAGACAAAAGCCTCTTCAATTGTTCTCCAAGATAAAATACACTAAATTGCCAAAAAGTATTCGCTCACCTTTCAAAATAAGTGATATCAGGTGTTCCAATCACTACAGCTGTATTAAACAAAGCACCTGCAGAAAGAGCAGGAGGCCCTCAGGAGCTCAGTGTGGCATAACGAAGAGGCCACCTGTGCATCAGGTCCAGCCCTAAAATATTCCACCTTCAACGGTCAATGGAGTTGTAACAAAGTGGAAGTAATTGGGAACGACAGCAACTCAGCCAAGTGGTGGACACCTAAACTGACAGCGCAAGGGCAGCGGATGCTGACGCGCGTATTACAGTGAGGTCGATAACTTTCTGAAGAGTCAATCCCTACAGACCTCTAAACTCCAGGTGGCCTTCAGATTAGGTCAGGATAAATGCAGAGAGAGCTTCAAGGATCAGGTTTCTATAGCTCATCAATGGCCTCCAAGCCATACATTACAACTGTAATGGTTATTATTATTAAAAGAAATGAAAATCTCCTCAAATTGATAAATTAGAAATTGGACGCCTGCCACTAAACCAACAGGTACAGCTCTAATTTCAAGTACTACTTTTAAGTAAACAAATCAGGCCTGTATATCAGTAGATATTAACAGACCAATTAGCAAAGCTAGTTGTATAATATATAAATAGTATACTATATAAAACAACGGCTATAAACACACAGAAAGACACAACGTTATCCATTCTTACCATTGCATTAATTTTTGTTTACTAAAGAAAAATGATGACAATGGTCACACAGTTCTGCCGCATGCAAACAAATGGTTGATTTTTCTATGCTATTAAGGCTATCTAGCCCATCTGAACACATTTCAGTCATAAGGTGTTTATGATCCACCTTTAAATAAATGGCTGGCAGCTATCATCACCTTACCTGTGTATTTGGTCTTGCCTGCTGGAGCGAACTGGAGCCAAACCATCTATTTCATCGAAGAAAATAATGGATGGCCTCATCAGGTAAGCCTGGGAAAATCAAAAATACGCTCAATTTAAACAATGGAACTTTAAAAAACATGCTTCAAGGAAAACAACATTAGGTTGCGTTTTGTTGTTTTATGTTGCATATTTTCAGTTGTAATATTACAACATCCTGCAGAAAAGTGAATAATTTGATGATCAACAGTTAAGCGTTTTTAAATCAGATACCAGAGTTCAAAAATCCAGAACTTTTCCAGCTAAATTCAAAACATCAGCCAATCAGAGGATGGCTTGGAGAATTTCACTATAAAAATCAGTATAAAACCCTAAAAAAATACAAAGAAGAGTCAATCAATGAAGAAAGAAAAAAATATATAATCAAATAAAGGTGTTATACTCCACTGAAGCTTACATAAAAAGTCAGGAGAATGTTTTTTTTTCATGTTCAAGGACAAGTGTGCTCTGATCATGCCACTGAAATACTTCACCTTTGTCAGAAATAGCTTGTAATTAATACCTACTTCAACTTAGAATATATTTTTTTCTTTTGAGTTTTTACAGCACTAGTGGCTCATTTTGATGGACAGTAGGCTGACAGGAAAGGTGGAATGAGAGGGGGAGAGAGACATACAGCAAAGGACCACAGGCCGGATTGGAACCCGGAACGCCGCGTCGAGGACTTAAGGGCTGGTTACACTCCCGCAGCATTGTGTCGCAGTGAGCTTGTCGCAGGTATGACGCAGATATTTTTTGATTTATGCTCAATATTTTATTTCATGCCACAATGCAAAAGGGTTAAAATCACAAACTAGCTGTGGGTCTCGATACGGCTGAGGCGGTGAAAAATAGGAGCAAGTTTGTCCGACGACGGAGGGACATGAGGGTGAAAAAGAGCGGGGATAAAGGTGGAAAAAGGGTCCCAGCGTTCTCGCGCACCTCGCTCTTCTAGCTGGTCCAGCTTCACGAGTCGTTTTCCGCAATGGCAGTCATACGAACAAAACAAGCCGGCAAGGTACCAAACAGGAAATACGCATAGTGTAGAGCGGATGTAGATTTGACCAATCAGAAGCCCTCCTGTCTTCTGTCACCTATAATTTAGGAGAGGTGCAGCAGAGTATCTGCGGAGGGGGGGGTGACGTCTCTGCATTCACAGCGACACCTACATAGACGACCTGGTTTCGAAGTATAAATCAGCCTAAGGCCTCCATACATGGGTTGTGTGCGATAAACACTGCGCCATCCAGGCACGCCTAACTCAGAATGTTTTTAAATATCAAATTTTGAAGTTTTATTTCCTATTCTGGAACTTGAAACTTTTACCACCTAGCAAAAAAAAAAAAAAAAAGCATCAAAATAACTTCCAGTAGGAATGGCAGAGGGATATTCCCAAGTGACTGGCTGACTTGCAGGAGATGTCAGTGGGATTTCCCAGTGCTCCGATCTGCAGCTTGGAACAACTAAAACACCCTATTTAGATCTAGAATCATAATCCTGATGAAGTGACAGCATGGATGACATTTTAAGATGTATTTTCTTACTAAAAACATTATTTTAGTCCCACTCATCACACTGAATAAAAGAAAGCCACTCTCTCAATATAATCCGCCATGGTACATAAAGACCGTCTGNAAATTCCAGTTTGCGAGCGCAAATTACTGCACGCAAAATTGGATCTTGATAAATCCGGCCCATAGTGTAGAGCAGATGTAGATTTGACCAATCAAAAGCCCTCCTGTCTGCTGTCACCTATAATTTGGGAGAGGTGCAGCAGAGTGTCTGCGGAGGGTGCGGTGACGTCTCTGCATTCACAGCGACACCTACATAGACAACCTAATTTCGAAGTATAAATCAGCCTAAGGCCTCCATACATGGGTTGTGTGCGCTAAACACTGCGCCACCCAGGCACGCCTAACTTAGAATATTTTTAAATATCAAATTTTGAAGTTTTAATTCCTATTCTGGAACTTGAAACTTTTACCACCTAGCAAAAAACTTACTAAAAACATTATTTTAGTCCCACTCATCACACTGAATAAAAGAAAGCCACTCTCTCAATATAATCCGCCATGGTACATAAAGACCGTCTGTACAGTCGTGTGTGTGTGTGATGAGCTGTGACACCACCTGAGAAGTTTAAAACACACCAGCCTTAAGGTTACTCACCTGGTCAAAGAGGAGGCGTAGCTGCCGTTCAGATTCACCGACCCATTTGCTGAGACAGTCGGCTCCTTTCCTCATGAAAAAGGCAACCTTCCTGTCTCCCTGACTGCACTCATTAGCAAGTGCTCGGGCCACCAGAGTCTTTCCTGTTCCTGGTGGTCCGTAGAACAAACAACCTCTGAAAGCAGAAGCAGAACACATCAAGTCTGTAATCAGGACACTCCCAAAGCACAGCTGATTTCTCCATTAAGTACACATCAATCATTTTAATCAACCCTCTTAAATATTTATGTTTGGCTTTCTAAAACCTTTTTGTTTCTTTTACTATTGCATTTATGAACTTTTCTGTAAATCTTCTTGACTAAATGATATAAGTTTGATAGAAATCAAATAATAACTGAGTCCATATTTGGGTTCTTCTCACCTGGGAGGCTGAATCTTAAATTTTTCAAAGACCTCAGGGTAGAGCAGAGGGAACACCACCATCTCCTTCAGTGACTGGATGTGATTACTGAGGCCTCCCACGCTGTCAAACTTCACCTGTGGAGGAAACAAACACAGATTTTACTGCATGAAAGTCAGTCACTGACTTTGATCCAACAACAAACAAAGAACATATATTCCTTTTTACAAATGTAACGC